AGCAAATCTGAAATGATACAGGTTATAAAACCAGATGTGAACTCTTCAAGAAAAGAGACTCAATATTATGTATTGATGCATGTGTCATCCTAATGTCCCTATATCAGAAGTGGGAAGTACAAATACTTTATTATTGTACTTAGTTTTTTCAAGTATCTGTACTTTCTACTCCTCACATTTTGAATACAGGGTTATTACTTTAATTTTTAATGCATTATCGATTATTATTGTTTCTTGCATCATTGCATGTCTTCCCAACATCAAGATGGGTGCATATTGTGCATGAAAGTAACGTGACGGAGACTCCACCCAATTTGTTGGCTTTGTACAGAAACAGCCGGTAGAAATGTCCTTCAGAGAAACCAAGAGAGTACTTTTTCACTTTTAGTTGAGTAAGTAGAAGTACTGATTCAGTCACTTGAATCAGTACTTCTACTTTTATTGTATTTTTTTTTTTACATTGTCCGTACTTCAAATTGAGAAAAGAATGTGTGTACTTTTGCCACCTCTGCCCTGTATTTTTTTAAATTACTAGACAGTATTTACTAATATAACTTGACAACAGGCAACTTTGAGCTGTCCTGTCATTAGCTGCTGTTTTCATATGTCTAAAAACATAACATGAAATGTGGTTAATGTACCATGTAGACATTGCCTTATTTTTAATGTAGTGAAATATTGTTAAAATGTATAATAGATAAATAGAAATTAACAAATGTAAGTGTAAATGTAAATAAAGGCACCCTTGGCTTGTATTTAAGCCACCCTGATGTGCCACTTCACCCATTCTGGAAAATGCTAAACTAAACTTTTTGTTGAAATCAAACTGAAAGTCACCGCATCTATTGCACCCATTGCACCCATTGCACAGGAAATGCAAACAACTACTTCAACTGCAGCAGGTCAAAGTTGAACCAGAAAGTCTGTCTGTTTATACCAGACAGTTTGGGGATTTTTTACCTTTCAAAATAGATTTAGTCTGGTCATTTGACTTCTCCTAATCTTACCCAGTTCTTGGTAGCGTTATTTGATCTCAGCAATACATTCGATGGCTATAATTTATAATTATTCTTTAAATGAAATAGTGTCTATTTAATATCATACATTTAAAGTTTTTCACTTTGTTTCATTTTGATCAGCAATATCCTTTGAGATCCCAGAAATTCCCGAGGTCCCTGATGGGTCTCTGCCAGCTCCTGTTGCCCAGTCTCTGATCTCAGAAAAGGAGAAACTGAGCAGAACAGTCTCCTCCTCTTCATCCACAGCCTCCTCCTGCTCCTCTTATCACCTCCCGCTCTCAAAGTCAAACAGGTACTGCTCTGTAAGGGCAAAATTAACAGTATGAAGGTTAAAGGGTTAAAGCTGTCCTTGTTTTGCTCGTTAGTGGCTCCAAATGGTGGCAAGAGATTACCGTGTGGAGTATTTGCACCTCATTCCAGGATTTTAACCATTGTCTTTTTCTTTCCATCAGCACAGCCTCTCAGGACAGTGGTGGCTTCTTCCTGGTGAAATCTGGCTCTGTGAGTCGCAGTGGCACCTCCACATGGGCCAGCCCTGTCGCTGAGACAGCAGCCTCAACCCATCAAAACACAACATCCAGCAGCTCATCATCCGTCAATCCCAGCCCCGTCATGGGCTCCAGCACTTCCATTGCCTCTAGCTCGACAGCAAACCAGAGCCAATCCCCACTCCCTAAAGCAACAGGAGCAGCCCAGAAGCCGTGCTCAGATCAGAGCCAGCTGGAGCCAATTTTGGAGGCACCTCCAGATTCTCCCAGAGCATTCGTGAAAATGACCTCACCGTATAAACGTGAGTCCACTGGCTGTCCAAACCTCAGATGTTGACTTGTTCAGTAACACAAGGCACCCCAGCACACTGGTTAATTTCGTTTTCGTGATTTGGTTATTAAAGGTTTTTAAAAGATTGGTCAAAATTTGAGTTCCTCGTAATAGGTCAAGCTCCAGAAACAATGGATCCTGGATTTCCCAAAATGCAAATCAATAGTGTCTTTTATTACACGCTTCCCACCTTTCAAACTTCAGTTCACGACATTCTGTTATACATTTGAAGCCAAGACAACTCTGATCACATCACCATGACATCTTCAGGGGTGTTTCCTCAGATTTTATAAAAGTCCTGTCAGAGCCAGAGAGGTCATTATTCAAGTCTTGTTACAGGTTGAATAGTACTCCCCATAACAAGTAAACCAATCTTCAAGTGTAAAATTGGTGTAGTGCCCCTTTAAATGGCCCAAACCACCAACGATGTTGACCAACAGTGGCAGGAGCCGCGCACCAGCACGTCCCATTATATAACTCTTTTTATTGTGTAAATATCCTGTATAGTTTGTTTTTACTTCTACCATTTTTCCTCTCACAAAGTCAAAGTGGCGATTTGTTAGGTCAAGCTTACAGACAGAGAAAATAAATCTACTGTTCTTGTTGTAACAACCAGGAAGTACACAGGAAACAGGAAGCCTCACGCCACTGACCAAAATATCTCTCTTGGGTCTCTTGGGTAATGCGTCATCGCTCACATTGTTGCAACTGCCTCAGTGGTGGTTGAGGCTGAAATACTTTCTCTTCTTCTCCATTCTCATCCTGATATGCCTGACTACAAAACGGATCCCCTTGTCAGACTGTTTAATATGTTTAATATACTGTTCTCTGATGTTGTGTTAAGCAGTAGTGTTTTACCATGTTTACTATCACATAACCGACTGAGGTATTTTATAGTGTTAAGTGCAAATCACTTGGTAGAGCATATTCAATTCAATTCAATTCAATTCAATTTCCCCACCAACATTGAAAAGTTCTTTAAGTTTAAGCTAAGTTTGTCTTCCAGTTCTTCTTACTAATTTGAGAGCAGCACTCTTTTGCAGCAGCCACTCAGACAAATGTTAGACTTCCTTCCTTCAACTTGAAAGCAGGATACTGGTCGTCTAAACACTGATGATCATCTAAAACTGGAAATTCAAAATCCAGTCAGATACAATCAGATATGATCATCATACTTTTTTAACATTTAACATTTATAAGTTCTATATCACATATAGAGTTTCACTGAGGACACAAAAGTCTGTAGATATAGTCCTCAACTTGGACTGTATTAATTATATTTATCACAATACATTTTTTTTGTTAAACACTATTTGGCACCAAATATAATTTCTCTTGGTTTACAAATTGATTAGAAATTGCAATTTGCAATTTTTTGGTTAATTACATTTTTATGTTAGTTTTATGTTCAATAGGCTAAATCTAATATTTGCACAGTCTTATCACACTTGTCTTTAAAATTCGGTTTGAAGTCAAATTATGCAACTTATTACTAAACAGCTGCTACAGTGGCCACATGTGACAGTTACAGGATAATCATACTAAAATGCATGCAGTGCTAAAATGTGAAGAAGAGTCGTAGAGTCCCAAACTCTTTTAACAATACCTTTGAAAAGTTAGCAAACATTAGCTACTGTAAGCTACTGGTCAACATTGTGTTGTAGGAGGAGGAACCATTGACAGAAGTGGAATATAAATGATGTGTCCTTAGTGTATAATAACCTGAAAATAAGAATTAGAATGAGCTGTTTTTATCTGCAGAGGGAGCAGGTCCTCTTCTACAAAGTTGTTTCTACAGTAGCCCAGAATGGACAAACCAAACACTGTCTCTAGATAAGGCTTTTTTGCATCTTTCTTGAGTTTCGCAGCCACTGTATTTTCTCCTACATGCTTGGAAGTGACGATGAGGAGAGTTGGTGGCAATCTGCAACTACCACTTCCTTATAATCTCACTGTCTGTTTCTTTTGTCATCCTACAGCAAAAAGAGCTTTCAACTTGAACAAAGCTAACCAAGGAAACGAGCAGATGGCAGTTCATTTCTCCAAACCCAAACCTGCAGCACCTCCCAAGCTCCAGGCCCCTCCACCTCCCACCACACCCCTGGCGGCTGCGGACACGAGCACCCAGCCGACACCCGCGCCTCGAGCTCAGACGGCCAGCCTCAAAAAGCCTCCTCCGAGAAAGCCTGGAGTCAAAGCCCCGAACTGCCCCCCGCCACTTCCTCCACCATCACAGGCAAAAGCGGTTCCTTCTATAGCACAGTGAGAAAAAAATGACTAATGTGCCGTTCGTTAATTGTGTGAATTATCTTGTTGTAGTTCTTTCAGGAGTAACATAACACCCCCATGACATCACTGTTGGTTGTGGTTACAGGTGCGACAAAGCACTCTTTGACACCTATAAGTGAAGCTGGGGTCAGAAGCTTGAAACTTTCAACCAGAGAGGGCTGTAAAGCACTGCTTTTCAGCCTGCGGTTATGTTACTCCTTAACCATTGCCTGGTAGTGAAGAGCAGCTGATAAACATTTTTGTATTTTGTAAAAAATAAAATCTACCCTTAGATTTATCTGCATTGTTCATTATTGTCAATCTGTGCAATTCAGTACCTCCCTGGACTCATTTTAAGTTGAAAGTTTGCAAATTAGTTATTTTTTTGTTTCTGTGACCAATATAATTTATTTATTCTTCAAATACTGATGTCCTATATTTCCCAGAATGCAAAAAAAAAAAAAAACAGCTACACAATAAACTTTTTACAAACCACCTTTGAGATGTACGTTCCTTTAAACCAGTGGTTCTCAACTTTTTTGGTGTCAAGGATCCTCAAAGGCCACTGATAAGGTGTAGTTTCAGGGACCCTGTCTCATAAAATGTAGTTAATCCATAAAAGTCTATACTGTAGATTGGCAGATTAACAGTGTGAAACCTATGAACATAACAGTCATTATAATGTATTCTCTCATTGGGCTAAATTTTAGTCAATGAAATAATAGTGAAATTAAAATATTCCTGATTTCAGGGTGTTCAGATAGCTCACCTGCTAGAGTTGATGCCACATCTACCAAAGCGTGTCATCCCCTCTCTCCCCCATTAGAGTGGGGAACCACTGCTTTAAACCAACCATTATGTAAAACCTAAAAAAACGATGTAAATAAAAGCATATTCAACCTAACTACAAACATCTTTATTGTCAATTTATAACATCGTAGTATATCATTGGTACTGACTGCAGCATATGGATGTGAATTGCAGGTGCTCATACTGTAAGTACATATTTATAGGAGGTCAGTTATCTTCATGTACAGTTGTATAAAAGAACATATAAATGACAATTCTTCTATAAAAATCAATACAGGAGTCAGACTTCATAATCATAAAAGGTGCATGGAGTATCTATATAGAATGTCTGCAGCATAAAATCAGCAAATATATGGTTCACGCTTTAGTTGCAACTAGCAAATACCGGTAATACTTGTCATACTCCCTCAGTTAATGTACTTTAATAACTGAGATGTTTGTATTTCTCCGTTTTATCGAGGCCTGAGATTCCAGATCTCTCATTTCCATTCCCTTTTTGTTTCCTAGTAGTGTATTCCTGAGTGAAAAGTTGACAAGAGATTGCAGTGATGCCAGAAGGTTGTGACAACATGTACATTATTCATTAGTGACGAGAGAATATTGCGTTTCGTTTCCCCTCGTATGTGAGGAAGTGAATGAAGTATAAAGTGAATGACAGGCTTAGGAACTTGAGTAATGCTGGTTTTTCCTTTGAGACAATCTTAACCACATTCTCTGGCACATCCTCACTTTCCATCTCCCTCTTTGTTTCAGTCCTTTTTAAGTCATGACATTTAAAAAAAAAAGTTTTCTCCCTTCCTGTGCTGAGCTCGGAAACATGCAGCATCAAGTCTTTCGCTCCTTTTAGATACATTCAGCAACAGTTCTGCATCCAAAACTGTACATCTTTGAAGTGTGACTGTATAAAAGTAAAGGATCTGGTATTAAGGATACTGGATTCACGTTGTAGTTTTCATGGTCATCCTGTCAAAAGAGCCAGCCTTGTTGACCACAAAAAGATTTTAGATGATGGATTTGATTTGAGTTGCAGAGAAATCATACATCAGATGAAGATAGTTTAGTCTCAAAAACATCTCTGATTTGCTCGGCTCAGACTTTGATTTCATCCTCGTCGTCCATGTAACTGTAGGACATATTCTTCTTGGGCTGGCTGATGATCATCATATCTGAATCTGCAACCTCCATCCTGCTCTGTCCCTTTAAGAGGCTGACGCCATAGTGGCGTGCAAGCACATCTGTAGCACTCTGGAACCGCTCACTCTCCATCCCCTTCGGCAACCTCACTCGCTCAGGAGACCCCATCACCACATCAGGTACTTTAACAGAAAGCCCAACTCCGTTCACCTCCGTCATGCTCTCCTCCTCCTCTTCCCATTCGGCCCCATGAGGGCTCTTCCTGCCCCCGCAGTCTTCCCTGAGCAGGGAATCCACATATGAGATAGTTGCCGAGTCCATCTCTGATCCCTCATTGGTCAGCCCACACGCTGACCCGACCTCCTCTCCCTCCCAGGCGTGGACATGCTCCTCTGGGTGGCCGTCGATCAGGCCGAATACCTCGCTCATGAGAGAGGGGCCAAGGTCGAAGGTGAAGGTGTCCAGCGAGGTGAGGGAGGGAAGGGAGTCAGAGTAGGCGGTGGTGGGTTTGGTGTCACAGGTCACAAGGGAGGTGGAGCAGGTGGACAAGATGGCATCTGTAGGGTCGGTCAGAGAGCCACGGTGGATGTTTGGGGAGCAGGAGGTGGGGAGGGAGATGGAGGGCTGCTGACGCTCAGAGCGGGAGAGACGAGGCAGAGTGACAAAACCAGACTCCAGTCCTGAGGAGAGCACACAGACATCAATACATGAAAACCAGTCTGAGGTATTTTGTCTTATAAGTGGTTTGTCTTATGAAAGCTAGACGAGAAGCTTGTTACCACTTTTGTATCTGTCCATGGAGTATGAAACTACCACCAGGTGATGCTTAGCTTAGAAACAGGGGGAAACATCATCTAAAGGTCATTTGTAGTACAAAAAACAAAACGTGAAAAACAGCAAGTGGTTTTATGGCGGGTTTTACCTCAGTTTTTGTACATGTTAAACAAACAAGATGAAACATGTTAATCAGAGAGCTTTAGAGGCGCTAGTAGGCGGACTTCGGACAGAACCAGACTAGCTGATCCCTTTGCTTCCACTCTCAGTGTGCTAAGCTATGTTAAATAGCTACTGGCTGTAACTTCATATTTACCTTGCAGACATGAGGGTGGTATTGATTTTCTCATATAACTATCAGCAAAAATGCATTCCCCAAAATGTCAAACTATGCTTTAAAGTGTGTATGGAGAGAAACAAAAACCAGAAAGAAACACTTTGGACAATCAACTGGGTACATTTTGACTGACAGGCGTCCAGCTGATGTTACAATGCTTTCCATACAATTTATATGGTGTATATTGTGATGATTTTCACTTGTTTTCTAGCCATCAATTATTCTGGAGGCACACTCTTCAAATAGATTATCACACAATTCCAGCAGGGGGCAGTGTGAACCCATCTGAACACACCCTGTCTAATGATGACAGCCAATAAACTCCAGCCTGTAAAGTGCTGAGTTGCTCTGTGAACGGTGAATGATTTGCCCGACCCTGCCAGATCGCTTAACAAGTCCCACACTCACACTCCTGCTGCCTTCATGACCCCAACGGCTAAAATTACCACAGCACCTCTCAATGCCAGCCGGGCCAATAATCTGGAGATTTCATCTGATTTCACAGATTAACACACTTTAACCAGAAAGCAAGAGCGACATAATCAGTGAAAAATTCTTATGGAGGATTTGGTTGGATGAAAACCTGACTCTCCCATCTATGTGTCAAAAAGAATAATTACTGGGGAGTAAAGTAGCCTCAGCTGTCACTACAAAAGTAAGCTGTGTGTCACGTGATTTTGTGGAAGATTTTAGATAAAAAATGTCTTTAACAGCACACACAAACTCATATATGGACTTAAAAAGTTAAAAGAATAGTTTCACATTTTGGGGAATACTTTGATTTCTTAGTGAGATATGACTCTTTGGGCTGGATTGAAAATAGTTTTCTATGTGGACTGTGCAATGATTTTATAACGATATGACTCAAAGGTCATTTAAAGGCTGCTCTCTTAAACTTTAATGAAGAATATTTCTATGCACATTATAAACCAGTTCTAGTTGACATTCTCTCTTACTCTGTGCTGCTTGCCAGTTTTGCAAATCACAGTGCACTTTGTACTGGCACTTATATATTACCACAAGCATTTTTCTTAATAGTTTTAATAGCGGATAACATAGACACAGATACCAATACGATATTGAGATGTCTGCAAAGAGCTAATATTGGTACCAATATATTCGTCTGGCTAGTAAAACAACAACTAAAAAACAGAAGGGTAAAAAAAAACAACAAGTTCTGTGTTTGACTGGGGCTAGAGCTAGACTAGCTGTTTTCCTGTTCCCAAAGTTTATGCTAAGCTAAGCTAACCATCGCCTGTCTGAGTGGTATCAATCTTCTCATCAAGAAATAAGTGGATTTAGCAAAAAGTTCTTTTTTACTGTCACATGTGGAAAAGTTAGTGATAAAGTAACATTCAATACATTCCTCATTTACCTAACCCTTAAGACACACACACACACACACACACACACACACACACACACACACACACACACACACACACACACACACACACACACACACACACACACACACACACACACACAGGGGTGGTCAGACTGTATGAGCCATGAGTGTGGTGTTAATGTGGGTCATTCAAACAGCCTCTCAGACAGCTTGTTGCCAGCTCTGTCTGGAGCTCTGTGTGTTATCAGTGTGAGCCCTGCTGATAATGAGCCAAGGTGATTTATAAGGACATCTGGGGCAAATCTGTCTAGATTACTGGGCAGTACTGATGGATGAGTTTCACTGCAGCTTTACAGATGCTTGCAACTTCTCTGCAGTTTCCAGCTGCTGGTTAACTCTTTTGACCTTTGCTCACGTGTTTCACTTTGTTTTGCAATGGTGGCATTTAATTTGAAGGAAACATCTGCCCATAATCTTAGGGACCATTTTGGGATTTGGTGGTGAACTTTTCCTAATCCTTGAATGTCTGGGCAAAATCTAGACGACATTACATCATGTCTTCATGTTTCCAGTACCTTTTTAAGTGATCCAAAACACTGATAATGTTAGTCCCTCAGAATTAAAGAGCAAAAGCTTCTTTCAATAGTTATAAGGGGTGAAATTCATTGTAAAATACACAGTTTAACACAAACAGAACCCTGGTCACAGTGCATCTTGTGTAACTTGTGTAACAACAATCGAACAATGGTTTTTTTGCTCCTATGCTAGCCATCTACAAATACTGAACACGTTCAGGCACAAATTGTAGTAGAACTGTAGTGTTTAACACATCCAGCAGACACAGAACGACCTATGGACTCATTTGGGCGGATGTTTCTGGGCACTTGACTAATGTAAGTCTAATATTCACTCTCTCACTCACATTTATCTCTGTTTTAGTCTCCAACAAGCCTGAGGGAAATACTGCTCCACTATGTTCACTAAATTGTCGCTAACTTGGCCTGTCATTTGGTGTTGAGCAGGTAGCGTACAATAGATTTATCTGAGATTCGCTTAAATGAGAGTGAACTGAAAACCAAAACAATTAGCTTAAAGATGCTAAAAAGGTCTCTCTAGCTGAGGGACAGTTGGATAATAATTCTTTGTGGGTTCTACAAGCAACCCCTTTCACACACACATAGTCATTTGATCCATTGCTGATGAAAAATATTGATCATAGCTGCTTTAAGAAAAACATATGACCATACTAACTCACCATAAGAGCTCTTTTTCTCCTCTGGAGTGTTTTGAGAACTGGGGAAGCGCAGTTTGGTGGTGGGACTCCCATTAGGCAAATCCACATCCAGCCTGGGAAGGGAGATGGCATTTTTGATGATGGGAGAAACGACGGGAGGTGGCGGTGACAGATCCTTAGATACTTCTCTGGGTCGGTTTTCAGAGCCCCTCCTGATTTGACGGAGCGTCCTGGAGAAGAAGGCGCCGATCTTGTTGTCAGGGGAGGAGATAGAATCCGTTTCCCCGTTGTTCCCATTGGCCTGGCCACCGTGGTTGCTGAGGAAGGAGGTGTCCCCGAACACATCGCCACCGCGGCCCACATGCATGGTGTGGCGGAAGTCACCCAGAGGAGGGCTGATCATTTCCAATGTGAGGTCGCCTTTGTAGCGGCGCTTGCTGTGGGAATGTGAGACCAGACCTTTTAGGCCTGACAGCTTTTCCTGAAGATTCATGGTCAATAAAGGTAAATGGCTGAATACTTCTTGAAAATCAGCCAGAAACGTCGTCTGAAGTTGCCTTTAATCCCACTGAATAGCAAAACTGAACGAGCAAAGATTTACTTTTCTCCTCTTAGATTTGTGCCAAAATCATTGACAGTTCAGTAGTCCAAAGTATGGGCCTAAAAAATAGCTCTGAAAAGTTATTCCAAGATCTTGAAACCATGTAATTTCTAAGGCTGAAAAGTTGAACTCAAGGCCTGCAGCGCCAAATAGTTCACTGGAATATTATCTCTGTTTATCATGTGCAGGCCAAACTCTGTCCCACTCTTTGTAGCTCGCTGTTATGCATAGCTGGCTGAATTAAACAGACATAAATTGAGGAGAACACTGTGCAGTTGTGTTCCTGGAAGCAGCCGGGCCAGTTGGAGTGTGGTCAGGTCGCCTGGTTTCCCCCGCTTGCCTTGGGCTTTGGCTTTGTCGAACATCAGCTCAGAAATAGGTCTCAGTCCAGCTGCAAAGCGCTCTGTGGTCGCACCATGGAACCATCTATCCAGAGTAAAAACAGGGAAAAAACATCTATCTTTAAAATGCAGACAGGGATGTATTTGATTTTGAGGGATGCTGAGAGAAATGGATGACATTTCCAGTTTATTACGTGGAAGCAGAGATTCTGTGAGAGACCACTGTGCTTTCCTGTCCTGAATGGGGTATGTAGTTGTAAAGTAACCTCGCTGCATTTTGGACAGATCTGTCTTTCCGCAGGTTTTTAGGATTCCGCGTTCCAAAGGTCCGCTGGTCTGGAACCACCTAAATTTAGACCACAGTCACTCCTCTGTGCAACAAACCAAAGTCTGCTTCTTATCCATAAAATGGGTGGACTTTCAGGGAATTCCTGCTTCCATTTTGTCCTGCTTTGTCTGGCGTGAAGGTTACACAAAGTTCATTTTACATTTTACTGACGAGACTTATCACGCTTTTAAAGCCCAGCAGCAGCCCTCCTTCAACAGGCTTACATTTGTTTACAAACAGGCAAAGTATGCTCGGCGAGATAGGAAGAGATAATGAAAGTTTCCTGATAACAAAATCACTTCTACTTAGTGCACTGCTGTGTATGGAGCCCCGATACTGTCAAAAGGCAGAAGAAAGTTTTTAGATGAATTGATTAATTATACTATAATTAATATCGACGTGTTGTACTTTCAGTTGTTAAAAAAAGAGACAAAGCTTGCTGTTTTTTTACCTATTCTTCCAATATGTTGATAAATTAGAACTTTTAAATAAATTAATACATTTTTGTTGTTGTAAGTCATGCAGTTGCAAGTAATTTATCGATTTCCAATGTCCCTCATGCAACTATACCTATTTCCCATTTAAATTTTTCATTGTCTGTGTGCAATTAGAAGACTGTCTGGTTAGATATCTAACTGAAAGCTATATATAATGAGCGAGCAGCTAACTACCTAGCTCAAGCTAACTTTTGTGCAGGTAATGTTAAACAGCCATATACTTAATTCTGCTGAGTTGTTACTGTATACATACGTAAGTAACTGAGTAATGCTAACAAAGTAGCTAACAAACATTAGCATTCTCATACACCATATTTCTGTCTCTATGATTAGTATTAGTATTAGCAGCTTCTGTCTTTTTTACCAGCTGATTGGAGGTTAAAATAACTGTGAAGAACATGAGACGAGAGTTAATTATTTTACTTATAGTATTATCAATTCATGTATTCAGTAATAGTTTTGACTTGACTGACAGCCTTTTACTACCTCTTGTCAGTTTTGGAGCTCCATACCTCTGTAAGTCTCTAAGTCTGTAATAAAGGCAGACAAAAAATTGGCCTTTTCTCACGTGTTGTTCTTTGCCAGCAGAGTAATGGATATCCAATTCTAAAATATTTTGATAGCATAAGGCAGCCCCGACGAGGACCTCTGGTTCTCTTTAAAAGCTTTCCACTGCAGCAACTAAACGTCGACGGGCCTCCCGGGCATGCACGGCCCCGTCTGGCTTCATTAATGACCTGCTATGGTTCAAGAGATGGGGGATTGCGTCAGGTCCAAGGCAGCCCTTATAATTTGCTGCTGACCGCAGTCCCAGGCCCTCCGCTCCACTTCCCCTGGCTGGCGTTTTAAGAGTGGCATCTGGGAACAGAGAGGGAGGAAGCACGCCACATACCAGCGCCGAGCAGAGCCATATCAAGGCTCACAAAGGGACACCAGGGACCAGTATACCAAGGTGTGATGTCGAATCTAATACGCCGTGAGCCTGCTGGGACCCTGTGCACATTCCCATGAACCGCGCCGAAGCGACAGGCCACCTCTCTGATTACAACTCCCCTGTGACAGCGGCCCTAGACACAGTGGTATGCACTTCCCAATAAGGGCAAACATTTGTCTTGCTATATCAAGGATTAACAAGAAAAACCTGTCTAATTGATAACCTACAGTATTACAGGAATACTCAAGGGGCCATTAATTAGTCTGACTGTGTGCTTACGGAAAGCTCTGGTGTTTTGTCTTTGCCTGTAATCCTGTTAAAGACTTTTGACCACAGCTCAGAGGGGGTCGCTCCCTCCAAAACCTTGTGTGTATCTGAACCCTCCGGGCAAAGCTCATTTTATCTGCACATATGCTTTTATCCAACTGAACTCTCTTTCCCTCCTCTCTGTGATCCCTCTTTGCACTAGCTCCTCTGTTTTCTGAGTTACCCAAATACAGCAGTCAGCACCCCCAGGTATCAGATAAGATGGGCTGAAAAAGCACCAAAAACCCCAATATTTTGTGTCTTTAAAAGGTAATAAATTTAATGCTATAATCCCAGTAGCAGCCTGCCTGCCTGTGTCTTGGATATCAGAAAAGAATAGGGGACCTCTCGACAGGAGGGACTTGGACATACCCTGGATTATCCTCTAATCCTTCATCTCCTTTGTTACCCCCGGTAGGGCGCCTCTTTCTGGGCAAGGGCCTGGCTGCTACCACCCTGGTTTGCTGCTCCAATGGTTCTGATTCCTGTCAGAGAAGAAATAAAATACAAAATGAATTTAAAGGGAGGGAGAGAGTCAATTGAAACTGGAGCCAGGCAGAGTGAGAAGTGATGGAAGGAAGCAGGGGATGAAAAAAGTTTTGTTTTCACAAAAAGGAGTGAAGGGGGAGGATGGCAAATCGGGGCAGAAACACAGATGACAGGAATGGATGCCGAGAGAAATGAGATAACCACAAAAGGTCAGACGAGGAGAAGAAAAGAGATGTGAGGGGAGAGGAGGGCATAATGATAGAAGGAGAGAAGAGAAAATAAGTTTTAGTTCAGTTCACACATATAATGAGATTGGTCATCATTAATAAGCATCATTGATCATTCCTGACAACTATCTTTTCCTATAGTTTTTTAGCCTGACTAGCAGCATCTCAAACTATAGATGGATGGCCGTGAAATTTTACACATATGTGGTTCCCAGAAGATAAATCCTACTGACTTTGGTGATCCCCAGACTTTTGACAGTGAAATGTCTCAACAACTATTGGATGGATTGCTATAAAAATTCTGTACAGACATTTACGTCCTCCACAGATCAGGTACAGATACTTTGGTTTACGACCAAAATAATGCAAATCCCTATAGCCTCAGCTTTTTAGTTAGCATACTAACATGCTAAACAAAGAATAAATGGGAAACATTAAAGCAACAATCTCTGTGTCTGACAAATTAAGCCAAAAAGAAAGTAACAAAAATTCCCCATTCAAAACAACTGTACGGGGGTGAATTTTTACATAACTCACATGTTTAAATTGTATTAAGGCTTAAAGTTCTGCATAATTAAGGGACTGGTTGCTTTGAGTGACAGGTGGTCATTCAGCCCACCGCCACCCATGCTCCATTTATTTGCCCATTTTTGGATTTGTGAGTCATTGCTGCCAAGATGGCGACGGCCAGAGCCGACCACAGTACGCTGACCTTCACAACGGCTATTCATACGGAAAAGTTACAGCTGCTAAATATCAGCATGTTAGCATTGTCACTGTAAGTATGTTAGCATGCTGGCATTAGCATTTAACTCAGCACAGGGCAAAACCGCTAGCATAGCTGTCTTAGTCAGGTCATCGTGTCCTTTGACTTACATTCGTGTGACTTTTGGCACTTTTTTTTGCCATTTTATCGTGCACTTAAATGCTTTTATGCTCAAAACCTGACATTTTTGTTTTGCTTAACTCTCTTTTCAAATGGTTTTAATGACAAAACTCATTCTTGCAGTTTTAGGAGTGTAATTATGGGAGACACTGTAAGCTCTTTTTCAATGCAGACAAATCTGATAAATATCATTTATATATTTATATCAGATATAAACAGATCCAAAAGTGGTGATAGATAAGTGTATGAACAATACCCAGAAATCAGTAGTTGGTGGGAAAACTCTTTCAAACAGCCTCAGTTTGTGGTAAAATTAGAGCATTTCTGCATTAAAACTTCTGCTTAGTTCATCCTTCTGTTGCAGCTTTGAGTTGCTTTCTTTGGGCAACTCACCATTCTGGGGATTTCGGTGCATTCATACATCACAGACAGGCTCAATAAAATATTTCCATGTCACTATGTACAGTATTTGCTTGAGGTGGCTTTGCTGGATATAAACCAGAGTAACCACAGTCTAATAGGAGCCGTGTGTGTTGTGTGTTGTGTGTGTTCGAACACATTCCTGAGCAGAGCATCGGTCGGTGGAGTCTCTCTCTCGATTACGACCATCAAACATCCTTCTTCTCAACCTCGGCGCTGATTGAAACCACGTTTCGGTCTGAACCATCTTTTTTTTTTTTCATTCTTTCTTCTCCTCTTTCCTCGCTTTTCCTTTCTTTTCTTTTTGCTTCTCTCAATTCTTTGCCTCTCCTTTCTTTTCCATTCTTGTCTTCTCATATTTTTTTCCTCTCTTTAATTGTCACTTTTTCTTTTATCCTCTCTTTCTTCCTTCCCCCCTTTACTTAACACTCTTCTGAATCTTTTCCTCTCTGTTTATTCTTCCTCTTTTCTCCGCTCCTTCTCTTTATCCCTTTCTCTGTTTCTGTCCCTGTTTTTTCTATTTAATTGCTCTCTTCTTCTCTCCCTTTCATTCCATTCTTTGCCTCTCTTTGAGTGTTTTGACTGATTTAGGCTGGCTGAAACAGCTGTTGGGCCCCACACAGGCACCCATTAATCTCTATTTCTGATGACTTTAACTCAAAAATGTTTACTCTGCTACAGTTTGTCTTGAGTAAAATCAACGATGGACTTTGTGTGTTTCATCGCTGGTCTTCCCCTCCCTTCTTTCTCTCCCTCTCTTCTCATGTCCTTCACTCACTAACCCCGCTAACCAGGTGAACAAACATACAAGATAAGGCCACATTTTTTAGGCTCACCCTTTGACTTTCAATTACGTTCCTATTTTCACCGTCCATGCTCAGTCTGAATCCAAGCAAAACATGGCTACACTTCCTCCTCAGCCAAGAAAACATTTTCATGCTTCAACAAATATCCATACTCTCTGAGGCTCCCTGCTTCCTGCATCTGCTGGAACTGGCAGTCCCAATTTGCCCTCCTTGTTGCCTCTCTTTTTCAGTTTATATCTCTTCTGCGCTCATACATATAAACTTGCTTCTTTTCTTCTCCCTTTCTTCTACTCACACAGGCACATTCCCTCTCTCTTCCTGAGACATGTTCATGGCTGATATTATCAGCTAAATTTAACTTATCACATACACTGTATATTGGTATCATCATAGAAACAATAAGTTGCGATACTGGAATGCCAATTTACGAACGCCCTTATCTAGAGCCAGTGTTTATTTTGTCTCTTCTGGGCTACTGTAGAAACACGGTGGTTCAACATGGGGGACTGGAAGGCGACCCACAGCGTCTGTAGATAATCAATAATTAAGGTGTCAGGGAATAAATATGAAGCCAGATTCAGCAGCTGGTTTGCTTCGCACAAAGATAGGAAACAGAGGTAAACAAGATATAATGTGTTTATTAGTGAGCTTTAGAGGAGCTTGCAGGGCAATGTGTGTTAATATATTTCTGGTAGACGCCTCTGAAAAAAAAAAACTTGGGACAGAGTCAGGCTAGATGTTTTCCCCTGTTTCCTGTCTTTGTGCTAAGATATGCTAACCATCTCCTGGCAGTAGCTTCATATTTACCATACAGACACGAGAGTAGTATTGATCTTCTAAAGTCCAACTCTCAGCTAGAAAGCAAATAAGCATATATCCCTGACATGTCAAACTCTTTCTTCAACCTTGTCTAAAACCATGTTACATGTACCAGCTGATATTTTGTTATTATATTTTCACTCATATATTGATATCAGTATCAATATCAGCCTAAAAAATCCAGCATCTGTCGGGCTCGACTAGAGACCAAATGATTCACATGTGAGTGACGATAAGCAGCTGGCACAATTTAAAGATGAAAGGTTGATGTTTTTTTTCTTGCATAAAGCTACTTAGCTACTATCCTATCCCAAGTTTCATGTTGACGTTTCACATTGTACAGTTCCAGGAGTTTCGAGGAGAGGTGGAGTCTCACCAAAGCTAGGGAAACTATACAATCATTCACATCAATCATCATCTGAAAAGTTCACATACAGCCAAAGTTTGGACAGCAGCCAATCAACAAATAGACCTCAGCCTAGCCCTGTTTTTCAGACTAAAAAGTAATGGTGGCTTGGTAAAAAATGTACTCTTTTTTTCACCTGCATGTTTCCTAATATATCTGAAGTGAGTTTTAAAAACCAGGATAACTACTTGAAGTTTGTGAACAAGATTTTGGAGAAGTTCAAAGAGTCACAGTTCCCCCCACACAGCTGACAGCAGTGACCAGTTGGCTGCTGATGGAGAAGTCAGTCTCTAAAAACTTGGGTGTTTTCCTTTACTGGAGGGTTGCTGTTGGATGAGTGAGCGGTGACCATTTGGTGACTGACGACAGACTATGATGGAGCAGTTTTCCCGACATCATCATGTGTGGCAAAGAAGAAAAAAGAAGCCAGAGAACCCTTCGGTGTGAAAACAAATACAGCAGCCGGATTCAGAGGTCACACCTCTGGTATTGACCCTTTACTGGTTGGTTGCGTCAGTGACACCCAAAGGTCACAAAAGGTCCCCCTCAAAGGAATGTAGAATGCAGGTAAAAAAAAAAGAAAAAGATGAGGAATAGACCACAGGCAACGTCTGTACTCATTTACTCAAATGCTCTCATTAGTGTAAATCATATGAAGGGGGTTTACAGGAAACATATTACATGCATGTGTTAATCATCTGCTGCTGGCTGAGCTGAGTGAATACAGGAGGCCGACAGAAATATCAAAGTATGTAATCCAAGGAGCATATACTCTACGCCTACTCTGGGGAGACAAAGCGAGGGAACTGAGGATCCAGTTAAACATCAAAAAGTCACACACTGTACAGAGCCATAGTCAGAATTAATCACTGCTGGTTGCTTATTGGATTTTGTGTTATTATCACTGAAGCAGGCTGGCTTTTTATCGATCACCAATGTGCATGTTTGTTTATTGTCGGTCCAACGAGCTCTTCAATCAATGTGTGTGTGTGTGTGTGTGTGTGTGTGGTATTTCACATGGTGGCCTCCCGCGTGGATCGCTGGCAGGTTGCAGGGGTCAGAAGGCCACTGCCCCCAACTTGTAATGAGTCCAACACTGTGCTGCCTGTTTGCCTCCATAATTAAAACACCTCAAGGTCACCAAGAATTCAACCAACTTCACCATGTAATGTTCCACCAAATCAGAGTACATCTCAGTAATGCCGGTGGTGTGTATGAGCATTGATAGATCATGTCATGTAACTGCTGTAATTACAAGGCACAGTACAATTACAATTCAAAGCAGTTTATTCTGACCAACGTTGCCGTGGTGAAATAGTAATGATATACTGCTGCTGAATATAAATATGTTACGGAGTGGATTGAGTTTCATGTCAGACATCTGAGGAAAGAGTCTCACGACACTAAAACAACATACACACCAGCGTTAAAAAGTCTGACCATTAACACCATGTCTGATAACAGCTTGGTTTCAGTCAACATTTTTACAAGCCTTAATGGTATTACCTTATCTGGAACTTAACCTAATGTGTTTGCTTTCTTTCTCTTGTTAGCAGAGGCTTTTCTCCCTCCACTGACCTGTGAATTCATCTATATTTTAAGTAGAAAAAAAAAAAAAAAAAAAACAATTGCTAATAATGATTCATATTACAAAAAAACTCAACAGGCAATAAAGTTTTTTTTTGTTATTAACTCTTCAAACAGTAATATGTATCTAAGGAAATTATGCAAATATCACAGGGAAATTAAAAACACTTATAAGGAATGTCATAGGAATATTATAGGAATGTTATATAATACCCACAATTATGAGACATTCATTCTGCTTACTGTAAACACACTCAAAGTCTCTAAATGAATATTATAAAAAACAAAAGTTCGGTAAAGTCCCCATGAACTTCTCACTCAGTTGTACAGACTCATTGTGTGTCTGTCTGAGGGATTAAAAAGTGATTTAACGTCCAAATTGAACAGAAACTCACCAAAGGAAACTGGGAAGAAGAATGTGAGGCTGGCAGACTCCGGTTTTATTATCTTTCCAATAGAAATGTGTTTTTAGGTTCGCTTGGTCCGAGTGAGCCGGGGGTGCAGCCGGACTGTCCCGCTGGTGCGCCGGGTGTGCGGAGCGGCGCAGCGCGGAGGATGAGGAAAGGGGCGGGCCGTGGATCAAATACCAATGAAACCATCAGAGGGCCACACCGGGAGCTCCCACACTGCTTCACTACAATCTGATGTCTCTCCACAACATGTCAAATGACTTGACAACACGTTGGAAAGCCAGTAAACACATCAAGGAACGGCCTTCGTATTAGATGTTAATTTTGTGAGCGACAACATCTGTGTTTTCATAGGTCAGAATAAAGAAGTCAGGTCTGTCAAGTGTTAATCATCAGACTTTATCAGCTGAGTATCTGCTGACTTTTAGAGGGAAACACATAATTATGAAATTGCTGCGTGATGACTCAGTTTGTCTTAATGTCCAATAACTAAACACATGATAATGTGAATTTAAACATAAAGTTAACAATGACTTCACTGAAGACCTTTATGTGCCTTTAACTAACCACCTGTTGATATAATAGGAGCAGCTGTAGGCTACTTTTTAAAGGAAGTGACATATTGGGAAATGGGCTTTTTCTTTTTGGTACATGAAAAGATTGATACCACTCTCATGTTTGTACAGTTATGAAGCTACAGCTACTGGGAACAGGGAAACAGCAAGCTGGTCTCTGTCCAAAGATAACAAAAATCTGCCCACCAGCACCTCTAAAGCTCACTAATAACTGAATCTGTACAAAAACCAAAGTGTACAAATCACAAGATGTGGTTTATCTGCAGTAATACGTCTTTAGAGGAACTGGTACACATTCGAACTGAGCTGAGCTGTTTCCCCTGTTCAGTCTTTATGCTAAGCTAATTGTAGCCTCACACATTTAATGGACAAATATAAAATAGTGGTATTGATCTTATAATATGCCTCGGTAAGAAAGTAAATACATAGTCTATTGGGCCTACTTTAAACTGCTATCGCGTATAAAGTGCAGTTTAATGTTGGTTCTGATTGTATATTATTAAATATTTACTAATACATAGAGAATGTGATTATGTAAGTTGTTTTTGCATTTTAAAAGCTGTTAAAAATCTTTTTTTCCCTCACAATAGAGGCTGAAAACTGCGCTATGGTCTGACTGTTTGAACTGAAATCCCTTAAAACACTGAAATAAATTCCATAAGTCTGCGATGTGATGATTCAACTAAAGAAAACCAGATCAAGAGTTGAGTCATGTGAACAAATGGTTCACTAACTGCTGTTTATGATACAGATTGTATTTTCTTCTTAAAGGTCCATACAGGAAACAAGTACAGTAAATCTACAGTATTTCACTTTGAGGCTTATGGTGATGAGGTAAGGAGCGTTTTACATTAAAAAAAATTCTCAGCAGGTTCAGCTTTAAGCTTCAGTGACTGACTGCTCCAACAGTCACTGAACAACAGCCGTCAGAGGTGTAGCCCCATTAAGTGCACATGCCAGTGGTCCCACGCTGACCTGTCTAACAGGAAACAGAGCCTTATCAACAGGAACAGAAGCATCCTCACCCGTCCTCAAAGGCTTCTAACAGGCCTGTCTGTCGTTAAAGCTCCAAGGTGGCTTGTGAGTTTGCCAGCGTACACCACGACCGCTCACACCGCAGCCACATGCCACCTCTTAGTGCTACAGCACTTCTCTGCTGCCCCCACACCTCTGGTACCACACACACACACACACACAGACACACAGACACACAGACACACAGACACACACAGACACTTACAAGCTCACACGTAGGCAGGCGGAAGTAAACACAATCACACACAAACGGGAAAACCACCATCCTTCACTGATTCAGACAACACCCTTCCTCATCTCACAAGACTTAAGTTGCTCTCTGTTTATGCACGCTGTTTTTAAATAAATAGTAGTAGTAGTAATAAATAGCAGTTATTTCCTTTGTCAAATATACACCTTTTTTTTTACAATAAGTTTCACAATAAATTCAGTGTACCTGATCCTGATTGGCTCCCATCACTAATGTATTACTGAAGTCCGTCCAATCAGGACACTTTGCTCGGTTGAACGTTCAGTTCAATCAGTAGGTTTAACTCATGGTCTCCCTGTTGCCCAGCTTTTCATTCCTCCTCTTGTCTTTCCCTCATGAAACATCACCTCACACTATTTGTGTTGTTTGTCTGTTTTAGCATTTTCAAAATGACTCTGACTGGACAAAGCTATCAGTGTGTAAACTTCTTACTGATTGGTCCAGGGTGACTGCATGTAACAGCTTTGCTTGTCCGTCAATCAGGATCCTCTTTGTCTCTGTGTCTTCATTTGTATTCAATATGACTAATTGAATAGTTTAATTAACCTTATCACCAGAGCATCAGATGATTCATAGCTTGTTTGGTGACAAAGAAGCTGAATGTCCTTTAAGCACAGACTCTGTTTAATATACACTTCTAATCTGTATATACAGTACTGGAGGGCATCTACAGGATTAGTGTGTGTGTGTGTGTGTGTGTGTGTGTGTGTGTGTGTGTGTGTGTGTGTGTGTGTGTGTGTGTGTGAAACAGCATGTCTGTATTTGGTCTGTCTTGTCTCCTGCTGCCACCCATGCCCACATTTCTCGGGCATGAACTGTTGGCACGGCTGCTGCACCTTTACTGTAGCTCTAACAGACATTCATTTAACGCCGCCAGGAACCAGGCTTCACTGTGCTTTCAGCAGATTCACAGGGTGACATTCACTTTGGATGTTTGTGGACCAAATTTCCATGTTTTTCTGGCACAGGTGGCAAACAAGTTGGTATCCAGTTTGCAGTCAGAATCAACAAGGTATTTTTCTTACAGAATATCCAGTTTTTGCAGTGGTGAGCTAACAGCTGGCACACTAAACAAATATCCATGTGTTTACCTAGTTTAAATGTTAAGGCTGTTGATATTCTATATTTTCCTTGATGTCAACAGATCCCTTGAAAAGACTGATCCTACTAAAAAGTATTGTTTTTGTAGCCAACGCCTCATATAGCTTGTTACTCTAGTCTATACCATTAGCCCCAGCTGGAAATAGTTGCATACTTTTCGAGTGGTATGTGCTCTTTATTGATGAAACTATATATTTGTCACCCTTTTTAAAGATTAAGAGAGGGAGCCACAGAGTGGAAAGTCAGAAAGTTTTGAGAGACGGCTGAGCATTTTAGCATCTTTTAGCTAATATTTTTGGTTTTATGGTCCGACTTTGCTGATTTGGTTCAGTCTCGCTCCCATCTGTGTCGTTTCCAAACTCACTTACACAACTTAGCACCAAACCACAGACAGACACAGTTAGTGACTAGATGGTGAACAAAGCGTGATATTAACAGCTAGATACTTCACTTAGGAGTTGGTGGAGACTAAAGCAGAACCTAAAGCCAAACTATATTGGTCAGGTCACAGCTCCAAAATACGTGGGAACTGTGGGGAGCTCCTCTGAAAGAGACTAAAGCTCCCCAGAAGACCTCATTTGGGAAATTTAGGGTGAAACTAAAATATTGTAATTTCTGGTGCCACTACTCTTATTCTGTATACATTTATACTTTCCTGTATATTTAGGTTCCTGAAATGAATAATAAGCTAACAATAAAGAACTTTTATACGTTTATTTGCATATAACAATTTAAGATTATTTGTGTCTAATAAACACAATGCTGTCTTTTCCTGCTGTGTCTATCCATGCGGGGCGCCACAATGGCTGGTTCAATGCACATTATGCACTGGGCATAAGTTTCATGGGATACAACCTAGTTCTGGTCTGTACATATGTGTGTATAATGAAGTAATGCAAACCATTGCCCATCCACTGTTTTTATTGTTGTTGTACAGTAGAGAGAAATTAAAAAACATTGCAATAGTGAATATTTTTTCAGTTTCTTTGTTGTCGCAGGCTAAACATTCTTTGCATGAACTGATGTATTGATAGTATGTTTTTGGATGTAGATGGGCGCATCTGTGTTTGCATGTGTACAGGACTGTAAAATCACCCCAAATTCCACCACTGGCTCCAACTGTTTGCTTATGTTGCTATGTGTCTGCTGCATGTGTAAATATGCTTACATGCTATCCATAACAACTTCACAAGATGACACTAGTGACCAAACATTACAGCAGGGACAGTAACATTACAACTTCATTCATTACTCCCACTTTTTGTAGATTTTGTAGATGTTTTCCTTTCCTGTGTTTTTGGCGTTGGTTCAATGATGAACTCAATCCAACCTTGTACTCTGAAAATGTTTGCATGCCCGAGTCATTACAGTGACTAAGGGGTGCTTTTAAGTTTGCCTCGGTAATAGATCTATATTTAAAGTGTTTATCTCGTAAATGTAGTTACACTGGTGTATATTTTCATGATGTCATGCCTCTCTCTCTCTCTCTCTGAAATACGTATGTTGTATGAAATTGTTAGTCAGTGCTCTCTGAATGCTGTTATCTTACAGTTGATATGCTATCTGCATTGGTGTCAGCACTTCAGCCTGCAAAGCGTTTAAAAATATAACTAAACTATATGTTTTGTATGATGTGGCGGCTGATAGCATGTTTTTTACAACCGACAACTGTTATCCAGTCCTCTCCTATCTTTAAAGCACTTTGTTACTCGTCCGTTTGAAGCACTCTGTCTTGACTTCACACTCGAGTAGTAGACCAACAGGTCCAAAATCTCTGTTTGGACCTGTTGGTTGTCTTGATTCTTAGGCTGCTTGTATCCTAGTTGCTGTGAGTTTAAAAAGCAAAATATTATTTCTGCAGATTGGCTGATCATGGTCATTTGTTGTTTTTATAGCCTGGTTCCCAACCATCTCATTTCTCTTCTGCCTCCCTTATATTTCTTTTGCACAATCTCAAATCCTCCTGTCCATCTCTCTGTTCCCGGTTTCCCCTCCTCTCTCTCCCAGGCTTTCCTTGCATCTCTCTTCTCTCTCTCTCTCTCTCTCTCTCTCTCCACCCCCTTCACTCCATCCCAAGATAAACAACCTCTCTTCTGAGGCATGTCAGCTATTTGTTCAAAAAAGCTCACAAGTTTTTGGATGCTGTTCAGAGCTGGGTCTCCGAAGGGAGGCAAGATTACAAATTTAGTGCTTTTTCACAATCTCTCCCTCTGTTTTTCATTTTTCTTGGTCAACGCTGCTCATTTTTTTCCTCC